TGATTCTCAAACCATTTTACACAGCTCCTGATCAAATGGATCTTTTCTAGGCTAGCTCTTCTCTGGACTTTTTCACGTATCCTTCAATGTCTGCCTGCCCCTGCCCCGACTCTTACATGCTACACGCTATTGATGCACAGTCATGGTTTCTACTTGATATGAGTTCAGGATCTTTTCTTCTTCTACAGTCAAAACCCACTCAACCCTTCTTCACCCTCACTGACTCCACTCCTCTCCCATTCAATCCCCCACTCCTGAATTTTGTATGCATCTACTGTTCTCACTTCTGCCATCAGAGGTTTGCGAAGTTCTGGAATTTCTACCTCTCCAAAAAGCCTGTATCACATCATAATCAAAAATTTACTTCCTATATTGCTGCTGAAATGCATATCAAACCATTACTACAACTTTACCAGTACATCTAACAGGTTAACTACCATTCAGCCTAAAACCTCCTGATTTTCACACTAGTTTTATAAAAGGTTTAAATATTCCATCTCACTTCTCCCTGTTCTTTAGAATTACACAGCACCACTGAGAGCTGGCAAAGTGTAAAAATTGCTAAAACGCCACTTTAATAAGCTTGCTTAAACTGCATTACAGTAAATTCGTCTCTACATATGTGTATAACAAACTTTAACCATACAGTCACTTGTAAGTTGTTCAAAGTTTTACATGGATACACGCACATTTATAAACACAAACGTGAAGTTACAATACAATCGGCTGTCAACATTTGGTCGCCTGCATTTACAGGATGTCTAAAATCAAGTCTCATGCTCTAAGACTGCAGCTGGTCACTGGAAGAGAAGTGACCTTCCTTATCCTGTCGGTACGCACATGTATGTGTGTGCTCATGAAGCTGTGCATGTTCGCTGTTTAAATGGAAGATGTGTGCAGCAGTCACTGAACGACAGGACCCAGCTGGCCAAGGGCAGCCCCAGGGTTAAGCAGCTATTGAGCTCTGTCAGCCCCCGCTGCAGCCAGCAGAGGTTTCCGCCCTTTGCAGCGGGTCACTGACTGCCCTGCAAGCCGAGCACAGAATTTAAACAACAAACCGCATACCGGTTTGTTTCCGTTCCTGCACCGGGCGCACCCGGTCGGGGAGGGGTCTCTGCCAGCGCAGGCCGGTGGCTGCCAGCAGCGAGGGCCCCAAATGCTACAGCCCCTGACAGGCGGGGACGGTGGAGCCCGAGAGCGGCGGCGTTCAGAAGCCCTTCCNGCGGGACCATGGCGGGCAGGGGGCGGGCTGTAGGGCAGGGCCAGGCCGGGACCGAGGGTCTGCTCGTAATGTTCCTACGTAATATTCCTCGCCATGTAGGTAATAATACGTGTATTGATGCATTCCATATAATATATGTCATATTAAATAGTATTATATATAGATCACATTCACATAAAATATCTATGTATTACATATGTTTGTATAAACACACGCGTATGTATATATAGATGTTATAATATGTAACAGTATATGTACATGTGTAATAAATAGCTCTATGCAATACGAAGAGTGTCGTTTCACGACGCTCTTGGAAGCAGCTCTGGGTGGCTGCAGGGCAGCTGTGGCCGTGGTTTTCCTGCTCACCTTGGCGGGCCATGGGGCTGAGCTCCCGTGCGATTATATTGCTGCAAGCACCGCCCTGCGGGATGCTGCGTGCTTAGAAATGGGCAATGAGCTCACCTCACCGTGGCAAACAGGAAAATGGGTCCATAACTAAGCCCTGTTCTTCAGGTGTGCTCTGTATGTTGTAAACATTTCAGAATTCCCCAGCCAGCTTCTGTTTTCTGTTTTCTGCTTCCAGGCAGGGAACCACAGGTGGAAGAAAACCCAAGGAACCTATTTACAGATTCTGAGAATCAGCCTGGGATAGTTATAAAAGGCTGTCTGGCAGCCAGTCATCTCTCAAGGAGCCAAGTTTGGGTTATGCACATGTGCTTAATTTAGCCACTGCTTAATAATATATGAACAGTAAACTGCAAGCCTCAAAATATGAGATCGTTTTCAAAGGAAAGAGGTTGAATAAAAATCAACAGGGGATAGTCTCTGAGGCTTTGAGGATGAGCTGACTGCTCTAATAGAAAGTAAGCAAGCCAGAAAGGGTCTCTGCCAGGGATTTCTCTGTGATCTTTCAGAGGCTAATATGCTTGAACAAGCATTGACCACCTGATGTCAACTGCTTTTAACCACAGCCTCCTGCCTACCCAATGAATACACTAGGCATTGCCATGCTCAGTAAACATGTGGAAGCAAAGCAGATGAAGCCCCAGGAATGGCATGCACGGCTAGACTTTGCCCACCCATCCACAGCTCCTGCATGAGAAGTGTCTGACAAGCACATGTGCTGCTGGGGCAGGTAGGTTTGTCCTGGGGCTGGGGTCAGGATGTGCTCAGCTGGGAGTGATGTGAGCTCTGCTGGTGCTGTCTCTAAAGCACCCTGCAACAAGCAAGGGACTCTGTGTTGCTGCATGTCCCATTTCTTAGCCATGTCCTATGCTGCAGACCTCCAGGACAGCCAAAATGCCTCTGTGTGCCCACCGTGTCCCACGGTGTGGGACATCAGAAACACCTGGCCGCTTTCCGTGGAAGATGGCTAGCTGGTAGGATCTGGGCCAGCTCCTTCCTTGCCTGTGGCACCGCTTGTCAGCCTGGTGTATTTGCATTGTGTCACCAACAGTTCACCATCCTGGGTCCTGAATGGGGTTTCCGGCCAAATTCCGGGGAAAAATTGCTCTTGCGGGCCTCTTCCCACCTGGGCAGCCGGCAACTCGGCACCTGATAGCCCTTGCCTGTCTGGCTCCAGGGGCGGTGAGTGTGGGAGACAGCAGGGAAGGTGGCTGGATGCTGGTGTTGGACCTGACCTCCTGGATGTCCATCTGCATATTCAGGAGTCGTTCCCAGCTGGTTGGCTGCCTCCGGCCTCCCCACTCCCTCTTTAAAGGCCCTGGGCGCAGCGGGAGGACGCGCAGCGCTGCCTCTGCGGCATCCCGCGTTCCCGGGGCCCCGGTACCCCGCGCCCCGGGGGCTGCCCGCAGCCGCAACACAGAGGGATGTGGCGGCTGGGAATTGCCGTCTGGAGGGATGGCATGCTGCTCCGTGCACGGCTGTCCCACCGAGGAGCACGCAGGTAGCCCATGTGGGGTGGCTTCAGTTTTGGAGAATGCGCGCTGACCTCCTCTTCTGAGCATCTTCATTTCGTTCCTGTCTTTTTCTTGAGGTAAGAGGAGTCTCGGCTGCTTTTCAGTGTTCTGGAGGGTGGCACTAGTGAAAGCTGCCAGTAAGAGCAGGAACCAGAGCATGCACCTGTTAACTTTGTGGGGAAAGAGCTGCATCAGCAGGAGGAGTTTGCTTAGGGCAGCACCTTCTGGTCCTGCGGTGCCGGGGATGCTGTAGCGAGGAGTCAAGGCCACCCAGAGCGAGCTGCCATGGCCTGGGACAGGAGGGTCTGCTCCCTCCCTCCAAAGCTCCAGAAGAAAGATAGTGGTGCTGGGAAACCTTAAGCAAGTGGAGGTCACCTTGCCAGCTCAGGGTTGATCTCCCTAAAGGAGGTGTATCACCCAGGTTCCAGAGGGCTGGGAAGCCTCAGCACAGGGGACAGATAAGCTCCTGACCTTGCTGTTGAGCACAGCAGATGAGAGAAACTGTGAGCAAGTGTCAAAAGAAGGTGTTTCTGTAGAAAAACAAGTGAGGTTGCAGGACCACATCACTGAGGAAAGGATTAAGGGTGGATGGAATCCATGACTGCCGTGTTTGCTGTGTGACTTTGTTGGGTGCAGATGGCAGGCTGAGAGGCAGCTGCAGGCAATGGTGAAGCTTGTAACACAAGGGCAAGGCATGATGTGGAGACCTGCTGGCACCCTGGCCTTGTGCTGGCTGTGGATAAATGGAGCAGTTTGAAAGACCCCTACAGCAAACTCTTGGGAAAATGAAACCCTTATGGTCAGGACAGGTGGGGAGACAACACAGATCAACATGTGGTGTAAGATAATCCAGAAAATATTTGGTTTGTCAAGACTATGGCTCTGCAAAAGGTAGAGCTCTCCCAGACGCCTGCCTGGAATTCAGGGGTGTTTGAAGAAAGGCAACCTTCTAAAAACCACTGAGAAGAAACCCATTTTCTACACTGCCTGGAAGACTTGGCATGGTACAGTAACAGGGACAGCAGACTGATGGTGTTAAAAACACTCAGGCACTTCTGGGAATAACAAAAGAATCTCAGACTTTAAATGTGCCCGGAAAAGACAAGAGCTGTCCTAATTTAGTAGTGCAAAGCCACTGCCAACTATTGTGGATAAGGAAGAAACACCCCAAAGGGAGGATTACTGTGTAATTACCCAGGATACAATGTTTTACACCTTCTTTTGCAAAGCTGTGTAACCGGGGAATGAGTGGAGGGGGTGGATCCCTGCTTGGAGCCAGCATGACAGTTTTAAGCCTAGGGCTGCTGGCTCGGTATTTTTTCTCTCCCCTGATAATCCCCACCCTCATTTCTTTTATTCAGTGTTTTGCCAAGCACTTAGGAACCCCATGTCGTGTTAGCCTGAACATCTCGGTGTATCCTGCTCACAGCAGGTCTCATTGCACTTTTACCCTCTCCGTGCCCTCCTCCACCAGCCTGTTTGTGCAGGTGCAGCCCCCAGATGCTGCCACCCATCCCCAGCTCTGCTGGCAGGAGCTGGGGCCAGCAGAAGTGGCAGTGCCCATGGCCTAGCTGCCTGTGTGCTGTGAATACCTTCACCAGGGATGCAGATGCTCTTCTGTGCTCTGCCAACACCCAGGAGCACCCAAGCCCACCTCTTTGCCCAGGTGCGTGTGGCAGAGGGCTCTGCCTGGTGCTCCCTGACCTCACACCTGAGCCCACCAGCCCCGAGGGCAGTTTCCCCAAATGCCTCTGGTGTAGGTGCAGCTGGTGTTGTAGGAAGTCTGTGCTGCCAGGCACTGCCCGAAAGCAGGTGAAATTACTCTGGGCACGATGAATACCTGGCTGGTAGGTGGGAGGTGTGGCGGTGCCCTGGGCATTGCTGCTGTCGTGTGACATCTGACAGTCTGCTCACAGGTTTTGCAGTGCCTGGAGGTTTATGCCTGGGTCATTCCCTGGTGAAATAATTTTTTCAGGGGAGCAGGGATGCCATGGAAATCTGGGAGAAAAAAAAATCTCTGTCCCTGTGCTTGAAAAACTGCTGTATGAGGTCCTGTTTCTTGCTCTTTCTCCAGTTCCACACCAATAACAGGCTGAAACATCAAACATCTGTGAAGCCTGCCAGTCTGTCCAGGCAGGAAGAGGATACAATGGACAGCAGGACTGGCTTTGAGCAGGACAGAGACTGTGTCACTTTAGGGCATGGCCAGGGGCTGAAACTGGAACCCTGTTTCCAGACTGACTCTCTCTTGCCTTCCCCCAATGCATCTCCGATGCCACAGTTCCTCAGCCGCACAATGGCTGCCAAGAACCTGGATCCCACCATCCTTTTCCCTTCCTCTCAGGCAGTGGCCCTGCCTCACGAGTACAAAGGTGGTGCATGTCCTGGAGAAGAAGCACAAGCCCTGGCTTTCCCCAGGAGCCGTGCCCCGGCTCCTGTGCCCTGTGCTGGTGACCAGCTCTCCAACCAGCAGCCACGGGAGCAGCTCTGCGACCAGCACTTACGAGCCAAACGGGCCAGGGTGGAGAGCATCATCCAGGGCATGAACCTCCCACCAACCCCTCAGGCATTTGACATGAGCCCAGAAGCAGCTTTTAGGCATGAGAGGGAAAGGGGTGGTGAGATGCCCCAGGAGAGCAAGAGAAAGCCAAGGGTGTCCCAGCAGGGCGAGGGGGCAGCTGGACGAGTGACTCCCACAGGGGGAACTTCCCATGCCAAGGGCTGTCAGCAGCTGAAGGAGCAGCTCTGCTTTTTAGAGCAGCAGTTGAGGTGGCTTCAGGAGAAGTTCTACCAAGTCTGTGACTCTGAGGATGCTCCCCAAATCCAGGAAGAGTCTGAGAAGGTACAGCCACTGCCTGGAAAGCCAGAAGACAGACTGAACAAGGACAGTGCTACTGCCACCAGCAACCCACACAAAGCGCCTCTCAGGAGGCATGTCCTGAGTGGGCTGGAGGAGGCTGAGGACAGAGGTGACACAGGTGGCCTGCCCTCTGTGGTGAGGGTACTCTCACAGGCACTGAAGCACGAGCTTGCTGTGGTGACATCCCAGGTAGTGGACTCTGTCCTGAAGGCTGTCTGGCCGAAGGCAGACAGACACATCCAGAAGCAGCACCACAGCCTTCCGATGCTGGGGCCAGATGCCAGGAGAGAGTATTCTGCTGGTGGGAAATGCAGAAAGCCACTTGCTAAGCCATCTCACATGAATGCACCAGGCTCCCTGGGCTCACTCCAGGCTGAGGTCCTGCCAGGAGCTTTGAGGAAGAGCCTGGGCTCTTATGCTAGCTCCTTCAATTCAAAGGGGGTCAAAAAATCCTCTCAGGTACCCAGCATGGGTTATTCACTGGGCTCGGCCACCCCTGCCCAGCACAGCCAGCTGCTGAGCCAGCTGTTGGGCTACAGCCAGCACAACCCCTGGGGCAGCGACTCCCATGAGAGCCCATCTGCTCTGGAGAGGGATTGTCCAGAGCCCCTCAACTTGCACTGGGGAACCATTAAACTGAGGTCATCAACTGTGAGACAGCAGCAGCACCATCCCCTGCCCCTGAGCCCTGCCAACATGGAGAGCCTGGTACTACTCCCGGCTGGCAGGGATGGCCACAGTGAGCTTCCAGCTGCAAATGACAGAGTGCCCTTTGCCTCGACCCATATATCCTTTGGGGGCAGCTACAGGTCCCTGGGGAATGTGCTCCGCTTGTCCTCTGGAGCCACAGCTTGGCACTGTCCCTACCAGTCTCTGCAAGGCCAAGGTCCCTGCTTCTCCATAGGGGGATAGAAAGGTGTGGGCAGGAAAGGGGTCCTAAGCTACAGCGGGGCACTGCCACTCCTCAGGATTGGTCAGATGCTGTAGCATAGCTGTGGGTATAAGCCAGGAGCTACCAAGCCTGCTCTTGGGCCACACTGGGGGTCCTGTTATCCTAAACTAATCAACAGGTGTCTCATGGAAATCCTGGTTCTCACAAGACAGGGAAGTGCTTTGGGGAGCATTAGCTTCCTCAGGGATTCTCAAGGGAAAAACCAGTGGCAGCCAAGGATGAACCCCCTCTGCCCCACTGACAGGCCATGAGGGGCTATTGTGGGCACTGGGCATGTATGTGTCTGGGGTGGTGCTCAGGAACACGCCAAGCTCAGGGTTTGCTATGTGTAGGCTTTCCTTGACCCCAAGGCAGATGCAGGAGGCGCTGACCCCCGGGCACCTGAAGAAAGCCAAGCTGATGTTTTTCTTCACCCGCTACCCCAGCTCCACTCTGCTGAAGACCTACTTCCTTGATGTGCAGGTAAAAGAGCAGCCAGAGCTGGTGCTGGGTAGGGCTCCCATGTGGTGTGGTGGCACCTAGCCTGCCTCCCTGGGGAACCACGAGGAAAGGGCTGCTCTCGTGTCCCTGTCTCTTGCTGGCAGGAGATGGGGGATAGCACCTATTTCAGCATGGGCTGCCCAGGAGCAGGTGCACAGGGCTGTGGCAGACCTGGGCTGTCAGCTCTTCACTCTGTGCAATCGAGGTATTCAGATTAAAGCACACCATAAGTGCGCCTTCTCACTGCAGGGCAGCTGGGATCCAAATCTCGGTGTGGAGAACACCTCAGACACCCTGATGTCGTTACCCCAGCTGGTGCTTTTGCAGCCTTGGGGCAGGGCTGGGTTTGGGTCAGTCCAGCAGTGCTTGGCTGGGTTTGCAGGGGCTCGTGGGTAGGGAGGATCCAAGGTGGCATAACACCATCCTCTGGCTCTCCCCCCACCAGTTCAGCCGCTGCATCACCTCCCAGCTCATCAAGTGGTTCAGCAACTTCCGTGAGTTTTACTACATCCAGGTGGAGAAGTTTGCCCGGCAGGCCCTGCTGGAGGGTGTTGTGGACGCTTGCACTCTCCAGGTCTCCCGGGACTCAGAGCTCTTCCGTGCCCTCAACATGCACTATAACAAGGGGAATGACTTCGAGGTGAGCAGGGGGATCTGGGGGAAGGGGGTAGTGGTGTTTGCAGGGGTAAGGAGGAACCATGCCCTGGTGGTGTCACTGGCTGATGCCTGTCTCGCTGCAGGTGCCAGGGCGGTTCCTGGAGGTGGCCAGCCTGACACTGCAGGAGTTCTTCAGCGCCGTCAGGGCGGGCAAGGATGCCGACCCCTCCTGGAAGAAACCCATTTACAAAATCATTTCCAAACTGGACAGTGATATCCCAGAAGGGTTCAAAGCTGCTGGCTGCTCCCAGGAACTGCTCCACAGCTGAGCCTTTGTGAAAGCAGCCCTGGGTTGTATGTGCAGCCACCACGTGCTAAGCACCTCATGGGCACGCTGTACAGCACCTGTTGTTTGGGGTATTCTCTCTCTGAGGGCCATGCCTCTCTGTAACACAGCTCCTTAGGTAAGGCCTAGCACTTGCCTTGTGCTGGAGTTTCATGATGTATGTTTTATTCTGCTGCTCAGAACTGGTGGGGACTGCCAGAAGGGAGGGATAGAGACAAAGCCACCAGGCTGGAGCCTGAGAAGTTGCCCTGGCCCAGCTCTCCCCATGACCCTGGCTGAGCTGCCTTCATTCTCTCTTCCAGAGGGTCACAAACCAGGGCAAACAGCCTTGCTGTTTATAAAACAGGAAGAAGTCCTAGTAGTGGGCAAAGTTTCCTTGGCACAGCAGACTAGCGGATGTGCTGAGTCCAAAAAGCATGACTCAGTTTCTGTCCAGATACAACACCCCAGTGTCCAAAGAAAACAGCTGGTGAATTCCAGCATTTCAAGCACTCCATGGGGATAGTTGTTCCTGTCTGGGATATGTAAAAATGATGTTTGTTGTAGCCAGCAAGAACAACACTCTCCTCCACCTCCCCTGTGCTGTTAGACAAGACCCTCCCCATGCAGCTGTGTGCTGTAGCCAAGCAAGTGTGTGCTCCTCAGCAGTGTTCTCTGGGATGCTGGAGGAGAGCAGGGTGCACAGCCAGCACTGCTTGGCACTCCAAAGAGCCTTCATCAGCCCATCACCTGGGAGGATAACTCCATGTTAAACACCCACACATTTTTCCTTTCACCCTGTTCCTGCTGGCAAAACTGCCCCACGCATCTCTCTTCTGCACCCTGCCCTTGGTGAGAGAGGAGAATGTTATTTGGGATCCATCAGTCCCTGTGGGTTTAACACAAGCTGGGGAAGAGCTGGGCCTTGACATCTACAATTCCATTACTGTAAGGGTTGTAAAGGAGGTTTCTTTATCCTGTGGCCAAGGCTTAATGACTGCTTTTCTCCCTGATGGAACATGGAGCTTTGTGTTAAGGGCTCTCTAATCCTGACAGAGGTGGCAGTGGAAAGGAAAAGGAAGAGGAGGGAGTCCTGACAGGGGCCTGGCACGAGGGCACTGGGAGGGCAATGATGAGCAACAGCATACCCATGCAAAACCCTCAGGGAGAAGAAGACTGGGAAAGGCCAAAATAATTTTGGGAGTGCTGTAAGGTGTCAGCTGGTATTAGAGTGCAGCAAGTGACTCTTGAGAGGAGAATCGCAGCTCCAGCATCAGATGAGCACATGGGGTGATCCACAGGCAATGCATCTACAGGAGTAAAGAAGTGGTAACATCAGGGCACAATGGGAAGCTCTGAAATAGGGGCAGTGGTTCCCCCCATCATGAGTGTGGCCACACAGATTTCCTGCTTATTTTTGTATTTTTATTTCCCCAATTTTGTATATTTTACAACCCAAACACCAAATTTATTTGATTCCTTTTTAAATAAACACATTATTTAAGTCACCCCTATCCATCTCTATAGACCTATTTGATAATGTCTGTTCTAAAGAGTTATCCTAAGAATTTCTTGCTATTTGTTAGGAAAAAATAACACTCCAGCAAAAGGGCAGTCCTCCTGCCAGCATCTCTGTGGGGTCAAGCAGGACACACTAACCAACACCAGCTCCTTTAAACCTGCCCCCTCACCCCAATGCCTCATGATTAGTCTGCTCTGAAGTGCAGCTTGTGAGGATCAGGAAGGGGGGGAGCTGGGGGCAGACAGAGACATATCCCAAAGCTTATGGGTGCTGGACTCATATGTACAAACATTGGATAAATGCTGCTGCTGGTACCATGAATGTGCCATTCCTGCAGGCAATAATGGCCTCAGACCTTAAGTAATGCTTTGGATAGGCAAAAAACAAAACTGCTGGAAAGTGAAATGATGGCCTGGCTTAGGGAAGGGTCAGCAAATTCATCTGTCCATAGCTGAATAATCAGAGAACATAAGGGACAAGTTTACTGGAGACATCCTGCTGAAACAAAGCCTTTTTACACAGAGCTCCTGGTGGTGGTAGCAGTTTCTTGCTTCCTGTGGTAACATGCAAGCCTGTGAGTGTCAGTAAAACAGCAGGTGGGGGACAGAGGACAAGACAGTGCCCCAAATCAGAGTCATGCAGTGGCTGAGGTTGTAGGAGACGTCTGGAGGTCATCTTGTCAAACCCCCTGCTCTAGCATGGCTATTGAGAGATGGTTGCCCAGGACTGTGTCAGAGGGGTTTTAGGTATCTCCAGGTAAAGAGGGACTCTACAACCTGGCCATTAATGAAGACATTTAACAGGACTAGACTATTTGCAGCAGTATATTTTGCTCCAATGCTTACCATATAATTACTAGTAGGAACTAGAGAGCTGTGTATTACACTGGTTTTTGTGAAATGTGGGCCAGTATGACCATGACAAACAGCATCTGGCATCAGCTATCCTTTGCTTGTGATGAGGTCTCACTACTTGTATCCATGGGTTCAATTCTGCCCATGTAGATTTTCAATATGACAAAGAAGACATAGAGAAACAAATCCAAGAAACCCCAAAACAGACAAAAACCCACCTGAACCCTCTCTCCAACCTCCCCCACACCAAACAACAACAAAACAACCGAAAAGCCCCCCCAGCATGTCTGGAGAGACTCTGCAAAGGACTCGAGATCACAGGGAACTTGTATTGGCTGGCATCTTCTTTGGCAGCTTTTTAACCCGTTTACCTTCAGCCAAGTGTGACAGAGACCACAGAAGTGTCAGAGATGGAGAGGTGGCATCTACCTACCTTTTTGTCACCCTATTGTTCTCCTGTAATCAGAGATCCTCTCTGGGGAGCCTGGGGTGCAGCTGCCTCCTCCAGGGCCACTTGTCTGTTTGGAAGCAGGGGGTTTGCACTCAGTGAGGCAGAACTCTGCTGCTGAAGTCAAGTGAGCTGAATCAAAACACCTTTGCTCCTGTGAGAGGCTTGGAAAGCAGCAGCCAGCTGGGTAAGGAGGAGATCACACTGCCTTCCCTCCTATCTAGGTCACAGAAGTACTGATATGGAGAAGGCAGTACATCTGCTGGGAGGTGGGGAAAGCTGGAGTTACTCTAGGGGCAATGGAGCCTGAGGCATGAGAGAGATAGGGTGTGAATTCCACACTGTCCAATCACTAGTGTGGCTCTGCAGGCCTCCAGTTCTCTTCAACATCCTCATTAATGACTTATGACTCAACAGAATACTAAGAATACTAAGTTTATCAATGTCAACTCCCTCGAAGGCAGAGAGGTCCTACAGAGAAACCTCAACAAATCAGACAGATGGGCAATCACAAATTGTATGAAGCTAAACAAGGGCAAGTGCCAGACTGTACTTGGGATGGGGCAACCCTGGCTGTGTGTCTCCAACATCCTCAGAAGGTGAAGTGGAGGGGCAGGCACTGATTTCTTCTCTCTGGTGACCAGTGACAGGACTTGAGAAAATGGCATGAATCTGAATCAGGAGAGGTTTAGTTTAGAAGGTTCAGGAAAAGGTGTTTCACCCAGAGGGTGGTTGGGCACTGACACAGGCTCCCCAGGGAAGCGGTCACATCCCCAAGCTTGACAGAGTTCAAGAATTATTTGAACAAATCTCTCATACACGCGGTATAACTCTTGGGATGTCCTGTGCAGAGAGGGGAGCTCAATGTTGATGATTCTGGTGAATCCTTTCCGACTCAGCATATTCTATGCTTCTATGAAATTAAGGTTTCAATGCTTGTGCTGTGCAGGGTATGGTGTGTAATGTCATTTACGTTCTAGTTGTACCCAAGACAGAGAAGCTAATTTTCAAACAAAGGCTAATGGGTGCCCATCACAGAGAGATTCCTACGGAAAAAGTGTGTCTGTTTGGAGGGCTGAGGGGACAAGGGAGAGCTGCTGTCCACACAGACATTATAGTCATAACTCCCAGGCTTGGCTGGGCTCTAGCTTCACCATTTCCCACTAATTAGTCAAGGAAGCAATTTGGGTAGTGCAGTCACTACTGCTGAGTTTCATCTCTAAATAAAAAATCCTTTCCTTCCCTCTAACCAAATTTCTGTGGTATATGCAAAAAGCCCACAGGCACCCATAACTATCTCCTCTGGGAACAATTCTGCAGGGCTATCCTTTTACATTTCCATCGCATTCCAATCGCATTCCTAGCCCATTCCCACCAACACACTGAGACCACACAGCTATACAGCAATAAAGGATGCTAAATATTTAAAATCACTGATTCCTGCCTCCAGGCTGTGGCTGCCGAAAGAGGGAGGTGTGACCACACTGACTAAGCTGGCAAGAGCCTGAGAGCCCTTATGTACTCCTCTATGTTAATACTTACCATAAGAGCCCCTGTTAATCATGTGTAGCTAATTAGAGCTTGAAAAAGTTCCTAGTGAATGTTTACCCTGTGTGCCAAAATAGCTTGGGGGAAACTGACAATAAAACAAATCTGGTTTTCCTTTTCTTCCATTTAATGACTTGCACCTGTCTACAGTGACTGAATCAGCCCTAGCTCAAGTGAATATTCGTGAAAGGGTCCTTCCCTCAAATACACATCTCAGATGCTTATTTGACATAAAGGCAGCTCTCCACATAAGTACCCCTTGGTGAGCCAGTGGCCCATGTCCATGAAAACCCAGCATTTGCTGTCTCATTACATGCATTGGAAGGACAGATTAATCCAGGTTATAGTGCAATTACCACATTTGAGAGATCTGACTTTTCTCTGGAGAAGACAGCCCTTCCTCTGTCTCTTGTGCACAGAGCTGCCCTGTGCTGCAGACCCAGCACCACCTGGAGAGAAGGGAAGCAATGCATGCACAGACTGGAGAGCAGTCTAAAGGAATAAACAGGGCAGACTGCTATGTCTAGTTGAGAGTGAAAGCTTTTTCCTTTTCCATACCAAGAAATAATGTATTAGTTGAGCCATGGACCAGGAGATGGGAGCTGGGGCTCTGCCAGGTGCCAGCTTCATAGCCCAACCAGGTGAGTTCTCCCTTGACTTACCCAACAAAAAGTCCTGTTTTGACAGTGGGACAATGGGGAAGGAGCCACACAGCCAGGGCTTCCCTGGCTCACCAGCCTGCTGTAGCAGCTCAGGTGCAAGCACAAAAGCTCAGGTGCAGAGATGAGCACGGTGGAAAAGGGAGATTGGGAGCTTTGCCCAGACAAGACACCACAGGCTGGCATACCATGACAGGAAGGTCATCATGTAGCCTGGGGGCTTTGGAGGGAGATACTCTGGTCAAGGGTACACAAAGGAGTGAGCACAGCCAGCCTCTGCTGGAAGCTGTCCCCACCACCCAAACCCCACAGGCTGGTGCTTGTCTTGGAGGGGGGGTGGCTGGGGTGGGACAAGATGACAGACAGGCTGTTAGAGGAAAAGCACACATGTCCATGTATACATAAACACCAAACTAATAAAGCAATTTTTAAAAGCAGGCCTGATAAGAGAAGGCTTGAGAATGGCTATTCAAGTAAAACCAGGGAGAGCTGTGCACAGATCTCAGGGAAAAGCAGATTTAGGTCAGCACTCAACACTTGTGAGGATACAGTTTATATTAATATACTAATGCCTTCTCATCCAACTGTACAGGCTGCTGAGTGGCAGGTGAAGTCCCATGATTTTCCTTTTTTCTGCTAGCACACAAACATTAGAGAGACCTAAAATTTGAGAAAATTTCTGATTTTCTCATTTTTAGATGGCTTTTAGCATTTTTACAACAAGCAAACCCACCTGTCATCATCTTCTGCAGTATTTCTACAGGCTTTCCAAATTTAGTCATGTTATTTAGCTCTAGGCTTTTGATTAAAAATTTATAGGGTAATTTTCACTTTATGTACAAGGGTTAAACACTGTTCTTGCTCTTGCTAATCCAATAAAACAGGCACTACAGATTACCTACTAATTAACTCTTAATGACACAGCATAAAGTCCAACTGGCATGAGCTGAAGTGGCAGCTTCCCTCCTGGTGTTTATTGCTTTCTCACTAGTTGTTCTACTACATTTAAAAGGACCATTTTTAGAAGTGCCAGTCTGTATCCAACAGCATCAGTCTCTTGTCTTACTGAAATAACAAAAAATAAGCAAAAAACCCCTAAGTGGCGAAGTGAAAAGGTGAGAACATGAAAAATACAAATAGAGGAAAAACCGTGAAACTTCAAGGAAGATACTTTACTGGATTTCCCAAAGCACATTTGTGTCATCCATAGCTTTACACAAAGAAATTATAAAAAATACTCTGTATTATTAAAAAAGAAAAAAAAGCTAAATACCTGACATGTATGCATATAAACATATCTATACATCTCAATATAAAACCTCTCCTCATTTGGTTCTCAGAGAACAAGCACAGAATATTCAACAGCTTAAGTAATTGTTTTTCATTTCTAGTTTCCA